TTGTGGAAAAGCAAAAAGTAAAAAGAAAATTTCTTGCATCTGCAAAAAACAGGCTCTGGTCGCTTTTCAAATCAGGCTGCACAAGCTATCGTTTTAGTTTGATTTCCACAAGACTTCTAATCACTTGATGTTATCCACAATCTGGGATTATCATTTTGCATGTTATTTTATTTGCTCTTTTTTTAATACATATTAGACTTTTTTTTAATCTAAATTTATTAGCCCAAAAGAGCTATTAGTCTCGTTTCGGAATTTTTGCTTTGAATCACTTTATTGCGTCGAATCACTTTAGATGACCGTTTCACTTTTCAGATTGTTGCCGCAAAATATGCTATTTCTTTGCATCATTTTTAAAGAAATTAAATATTGAAGAATTTGCATGGATTGTGAAAAAACGATGTTACACTATCAAATTTTGAATAAAGCAATCCTTCATGCGAACATGTGCACCTGAAATCGCGGATTTTGAATTTCGAATTTGTTTTTTTTTTTTCATATTTTGTAAAACTCTAATTCATTTTCAATTAATTGAAAACAAGCAGTGGCTAAATAAAACATTTTTATCTCCAACTCGCCAGACTGTTGCCATTCGGAAAAAGATGTAAGATATATGTCTTTCAGTATCAGATATGCTATGATTTTGCTGCTGAATAGAATTTATGTAGCGAAAATTTATATTTGATGAATAAAGTTAACATATGAAAAGTTAGTATTAAAAAGACAAAAAAAAAAAAAAAAAAAAAAAAAAAAAAAAATGTGTAAGCTATCTTACTAAGAAAACTGAACACTAATATTTTGAAATGAGAAAAGACTGAATAGAATATAAAAATGTATAGCAGCTTTTAACATTGTATCGGAATTCTAAAAATAGGCTGCTTTTAAAAAAGTGATTTTGCTGTTGAACTGTATGTGCGATGAAAGCGATGCTTATTAATAAAGCTAAGAGGACAAACAAAAAATGGATTGAGTGAGTGCAATAGCAGATTAAGGAATCAGCGAGAGTGAAAATACCTTAACAAACCCCTTTTGGAACGATCGTTAAAATCTGAAAAACCTTCAGATATTTTGTTACTCTATTTTGTATTTAATTGCTTATTTTGCACTTTTAGATTTATTTTCTATGAGTACTTCTTCCGACAGTAATTTGATCTAGATTTTATATTGTGCATGTACCTAAAAATGTAAATAAAAGCAACATGATTAATTAATAAATGTCTTCATTATTGGTTAATAATTTATTTATTAAATTTAAACTTTTTATATTAAGTTAATTCTTATTAATCAATTATTAATCAAATATGATTATGTGAATTTTATTTATTAAATATAAACTTTCGCTACATAAAATTCTATTCAGCAGCAAAATGACAAAATATTTGATAATGAAAGAGAAATATCTTATTTTTTTTCCGAATGGCAACAGTCTCGCGAGTCGGAGATAAAAAATGTTTTATTTGGAATAGTGTTGCCACTGCTCGCTTTCCAATCTTTGAGACTGTTAACTAATAATTAATTAAAGTATTACAAAATATGAAAAAATAATAAAACAAATTCGAAATTAAAATTTGTGCTTTCAGGTGCACATGTTCGCATGAAAATTACATTATTCAGAATTTGACGGTTGTATCTACCATCATTTTTTCACAATACATGCAGATTCTTCATTATTTAATTTCTTTAAAAATAATGCAAGGCGATAACATACTTGGTGGGAACAATTTAAAAATGATTCAGACATTTAAAGTGACAGGACGAAAAATCCCGATATGAGATTAGTAGCACTTTTGGGCTAATAATTAAATGTATGAAAATATATGAGAAGTAATTCGAGCGTGTTTTATTACAGTGCATTAAGAAAAATAGTAGCAAAACATTATTTATAACTATTTCAAATAAGCAAATATACTGATTTTTGCTTTAATTAACAAAGCTTTTATTTCACAATCAAAAATGGCATTTGCATTTGAATAACTTTCAATCGATTTTACTCTTCTTACTAATTATCAGATGCAAATCGAAAAGTCCTAAAATGCATAGCATTAGATGAGACGGATGCGAGTTTTTTTTTAACACGTTTATCATCACATCATTACCCCGAATACACACACACACACACATTTATATATATATATATTATATATATATATATATATATAAGATATTAAGATATTTTATTTATTTTTATGTAAGATTTTTAATTTAGGAATATTTCGTACGAATATAGTTTTATTATTTATAAAATGATGTATGATATATTACACTTTAAAATTATTCCTATATTTAAAAATAATTAAAAACAGATTTCCAGGGACGACATAGCTTGGTCTTAAATGGTAGTGTGCTCAAAGCTGATAATATCTCCTCTACGAGGTACCAGCTTTTGTGTTCGATGGTCGCCTTTATGGGGTTGTCACTGACGTCCTTGAGTGTGACAAGTACGGGGTTCAGGTTCATTTCAATAGAATTTCTCAATAGACCTCACAGGTAGTGGAAGGGGGAAGGAAATATTTCTCTCGTTAACTGAGCTAAATTTCAGACACAAAATGTTTACCTTTGGAAGAGAAAAATGGTACAAAATATAGAAGTTTTGCTCGCCGGTGAAGTGGTTAATGCAGAATGCAGTTTTCAAGAGAGCATCATGATGAATATTGGTGAGAAAATATTCTTTGAAAATAAATGCTATTCAAATAAATAAAATCAAATGCAAAAATAATAATAATATATCTATAATAAGTATGCTTAAATAATACAGTGGGAAAAAATGAATAGAAATTTTTAAAATAACCATTTGAAGAATTGTAATTTAACCACACAAATGAAATAATTGAAAGGAAATTCTAAAAAGGGGAAAAAAAACTGTGATTAAGAAGTGATATGAAGTAAAAATATATGCGAGGAAGAGAAAATGACACTTTTTCCCAATCACACATAATGAAAGTAAAATGGGTTTCCATAAAGAGAATTTGTAAAGTGAACTATTCTTGACACAAAGTAAAAAAAGTGCACCAATGAAAATTTCTGAATGACTGATTAAATTTCACATGAAATATTACAAAATTTGTTTTTTGGGCATAATTTGAGTTGTAGAATCGAAATATTCACAAACATTCCCATGTCATTTCAGAAAAAGTTCAATTTTGTGTCAACATATATATGTTAGAACAGTTGCTGTAAACAAATCTAACATATATCCTAAGTCGCACTTTCGAGACATGAAAAATGCAAGTTTAATTTTGTCAATCGGCTGAGTGAAATGAGAGATATTGAACTGTCCGATATTTTTTGTACAAGTATCACATCTTTTTGCATTTCAAATGGCTCTTCTCGTGCATACTTTAACCTGTGACCTTGAAATATTAATCAAATAAATATGTTACCTAGACAGATACTTTACCTAAATTTTATTTAAGTTATTTCTTTGTCTTGGGATTTAAATTTCCATCAGTGTAGTTCAGACATTTCTTAAAGATAAAAAGTGAGGCTACACTGTACTAAATATTGCATGTATCTGTGTATATGTAGACTCAGGTTAGATATGCAAATCAGCATCAGGTATTATTTTAAAATTTGATATTCAATCATGAAAACTGTTTGATACAGCTTTTATGGATGTTGCAATAAGTGAAGCTCAAATTAAATTGTCTTACTTTTCTGTTTTTATGTTTGCTCATTTATTCATTGTGAGTAGTGATAATATTGTACATATACTTCCATATTAACAGCCATTTCAGACTGATAATCATGCAACAGAGTGACTGTTAACCCATGTGCAATGAAATTTATCCTACAGTATATGCCACTTAATATTATCATTCGGATATTATTATCAGTGACCTGAACTCCCATTTATTTTTATACGAAAATATGGTAGATACATCATTTGGTGTGATCTACAGTTTGTTTAACATGATCCAACTATTATAGAATAAACTTTTAAAAATAAAGTCATGAAATATAGATAATTTTGCTATATAAAGTCAAAATAGGTTTTAAAATTTTCTGAGTGACAGAGAAATATTGCCAGGGGAGAGGTTATGCCACCAGACAGCTTGGTTTCGATCTCAATAAAGCATTTAAAATTAGGCAATAAAGCAACTTTAAATTCATATAGATTTTGAATAACTCTATCACTTTTGAAGGCTGTCATGGACAAGGTAATTCTTCAGGAGAGAAAAAAGAAATTATACAAGATTTTTTTTCTTTCCACCTTGAAAATAAATTGCCTGAAAACATTCTATGATAAACTAGGGTGCTTTTAAGTTTAACTTAAAATTTTACATTTGCATGTTCTCATCTAGAGGGATGCCTTCCAACAGATAAGAGTGTATCATCAGTCCAATAGTCTCAAGGTGTGTTACGAATAAATTATAAATGAAGATACTGTGAACAGTTCATTATCAAACTTTTGCATTTTCCTAATTTAAATGCTGTGAACAAATAAATATGCAAACATAAATAAAACAAATAAATATGAATACATATTTATTTGTTTTATATATTTAAATTTAAATTCCATTGCTACTTTCAAGCATATCTGATCTGGTCTTATCATTTAATGTTGTTATTCGGTTAATGTTATCAAAATAGCCATGGACTAACATGATCACGTTAAGCAGAGCCTATTGTAATTCCCTGTCAAATTATAGTAAGCTTTTGTGACAGTTTTTAGCAGACCCAGTTTGGCTGGATGGTTTCTGGACAGTCATTACATTAATAGAAAAAAAAAAAAAAAAAGAAAAAGACTTTATTATATTTGTCTTTTATTATATTTTCTTTCTAAGTATAACTGTTTGAATGAATAATAATTTTCAAGTAATAAAAGCCATGAATTAATTTTCTTGTTATGTGCCATTCCCATGAAAACTGACCATTACCTTTTCTTATTAAGTCCAGTTGTGTTAATTGCTTTATGAAATAAATTAAAATGAAATTTTCTCAGTAAAATATAATTATTATGTTTATTTTATAAAAACTATTCTTCCTGCCTATGATCTTAACAGATATTCTGGAGTTGACCTTGGAAGTCAAGAAGCATATGAATTAGCTAAAAAGGGAATTATTCGCCCTAGTGGAAAATCAAATCCTATTATCTATAGTATCAAGTGTTCCGAGTTTGACCTCCCGCATTTTGTTCTTGGTGAGTGAGCTGACTGTTTTTTTGTTCGCATCCTTTCAGAGTAAAAACATTCCCACATCATGCAGCTTTGAATTTATTTCCTTTATATTTTCTGTATGTCCAGATTAAAATCTTTTACCTTCCTACTTTACTGAATACAAGTGAATTTTCATAACATTTTAGCAATATTGGTTATATAGTATAAATTTATAAAGTTTATTTATTTTTAGTAGGGATTTTTTTAAGTGTTTTCTAGTGTATAACTATGCTTTATCAGAATTCTTATTTTTTATTAGAAGTATTAATTAGAAATTTGAAAAACTTTTATATATCTTATTTTAGAAGTTGGATGCATCAATGAGACTGATCTGTTCCTGGCTGAACTAATTCATCAGATAGGTGTATACTTAAGAAGTTCTGCTGTATGCACACAACTACGTAGGATCCAGTTTGGATACTTCACTACAGAACATGCTTTGTTACGAAAGCACTGGACACTTGAAAATATTCTGAGCAATATTACCTTATGTAAAGACATTCTTGATGGAGATACTTTTGTGCCTACCTCAGCTCATTTTAAAGTTGTAAAAGCATCAGACTTGGAACAGATTGTGCTAAATATGCAAAACAAGGTTAGGCAGGAGCATTTGTAAATAGTTTTATTAAAAATTGTTTTTTGTCTATAAAGAATTGTTTTACTGACCATTACTATAAGACTGTCAGTGTAGCATTGTTTGTGCATTATTGCTACATTTACATCTAACATGAGTACTTAGCTATTTTAAAGCATAACTAGTAGAAGAGAAGTTATTTTTGTGTAAGTCATGAATAGAGTTTCTTTAACATGTTAATAATAGTGTTGAGAACGAAAAGCTATAATAATTTCTTTGGTTCGCATCTACCTGATGCAGGGTGTTGCAAATCCCAGAAAGACAGAAGTCGTTCCGCAAAATGTGAAAAACACTTTATTGAAGCACATAAAACACACAAGGACAAAGATGATATCCAAAACGTTCCTTACATTTCTTTCCTCCTAATCACCTGAAGACTAACCTTTTGGTTCTGCCTCCTCTCGTTGAGACTTATAACAAGTACAACTGAATAAAATCAGTCTTTTAGGTGCTTTTTTACCCACCTACCACAAGAGGTATACCTTTCTATTATTATATCGGGAGATAAACTAGTCGTAATATGAGAATTAGATTCCTTCTCTCCTGTTTTCTTATTTTCAGTAAACACTGTTCTAACAGCTTGTAGCTGTAAAGGGAAAACCCTCTGCACCGGTTGCAAGGCACTTCTGCGTTATGTTTTAAGTCTAACAGTGTAGACTTTCCCATCTTGACCAGGAATCAGTTCAATAATCTTTGCTATAGGCCTAACTAAACTTTTTATTATCATAACCAATCAAAACTATTATCAATTTTTGGTTCACGTGATGGTTTTTCATGGCATTTCTGAATAAGCACACTGAGATATTCTTTTCTAAACTGTTTTCATAAATCTTTAAAAAGTTTTCTTCAGTATCTTAATTTTTTATTGAAATTTTGGGAATCCAATTTATCAATATCCCTAACACTGGAACGGTGGTTTTTGATAAGAAACCTAGTGGGTGTAAGAGGAATAAATTCTTGTAGATCTTCTGATACTTTTGTTAATGGTCTACTATTAACAGTTGGTGTTGCAACTTCTATTAAGTTTAACATTTCCTATTTCTTATTATTTAATAGTTTGTTTTGTAATTTTGTTTAATGTTTGAATCTGGCAACCAGTTTTGTTTTTGAATGTAATGATTGGAAAATTCCTGTTCTAAGCAGTTATGTAAGCAGCAGTTAAGTTACGTTACTGAGATACTGAATGTTTTTCATCATTACTGATCATTTGATTATTATACTAAACTCTACATGTAAAATAGTCGCATTAATATGTATGTGTTTGTAAAGTGAAATAAATTTGATATTAAATGAAGTTGGATTTCGAGTCAAAACAAAAGTGGCATCTGGTGACTGAGACATCGTACTCCGCATTAAGTAGCGAACCAGAAGCAGTTGGATTTACGAATCGAACATTACTTTATTGGAGGTAAACCATATAATTTATGAATTTATTTAATTTTTATTGCTTCTTGAGTTATTTTATACTAAGTTTTGTTTCATGTAGAGTATTTATGTTCAATCTGATATAGTACATTTTAAGAAAGGTAAAATGACTCTAGATTCAGAACAAATAGAATGGAGGCTACATTAAAGATTGGTGAAGCAAAACGTGAAATTAAGTTACAAGCAGAAAGAACTAATTTATGCCATCTCTACTATGGCTGCGAATACATTTGTCGATATTCATAGTAAGATTGATGTCATAAGGAACATTCATGTTCAGTTTTTCAAAGTTGTTGAGAAGGCAGAGCATTTATTTAAAGTAGATGGAGAAAGTAAAAATTTAGTTAGATTTATGGATGAAGAATATGATGCTATGGAGTCTTACCGAGATAAATTTACTGAAATAAGAGTTATGTATGAGAAGAATTATAATCAACGTAACAAAGTTAAATCTGTAATTTCTAATAAGCTTGCATCTGATAGTTTAATACTTCCCAAATTATATCTTAAGGAGCATGATCTTATGCCTAGATCATGGGTGTCATTTTGGGGTCAATTTTCTAGAGTTTATGAACATGAAAATTTAAGAGAAGATAAATTTCAATATCTGTTTACTTCTTTGAAACCAAAGAGTAAAGCACATGATATCGCTGAAAGTTATCCACCTTCTAAAAATAACTACGTTTAAGTTATTGACCATTTCAAGTCTCGATATGACAGAAAGGACTTATTAATTAAAGTTTACATTCGAGAATCTTTGGCATTAGTAAATAAAAAATCAATTATCAAGTTAGCTGATTTATATGGTAAACTTGGTTCATATTTACAAGCTTTAGAAACATTGGGTGTAACAACATCAAATTACGTAGCAGTGTTGTATCCTGTTGTGGAATCGTGTCTTCCAATAGAAATTTTAAAGGCTTGGGATAGGTTTAGACTCAACTCAGAAGAAGAAAAGAGCTCAGAGACGTTGAAGAGGGAAAGCCAGTCCTTGCAAAGGAAAAGATTCTGGAAAATTTGATGTCTTTCCTACGTTATGAAGAACATCGTGTTTTAGCAGAAAATGCATTTGGAAGTTGTATTAAATGAAAAGAATTACATGCACCAGTTCAACGAGGTGAATGTACTGCTGCTACTTTAATTTCGAACACATCTGCATGAAAAGTTAGATGTATATTCTGTGACCGTCCTCATCCAAGTCAGGATTGGCAAACATTATCAACAATGAGTTACGATGACAGAAAATCCCAGTTATGCGACAGAAATTCTGCTTTGTTTGCCTTAAGCCTGGTCATATGGCAAAAAAGTGTCACAGTAGCGTGAAATGTTTGGCTTGTGCATGGAGGCATTACACATTACTTTGAACAGATTTACGTAAAGATATTAATTCCTCATCAAAGGACAACGTAGCAGATGAAAAGCAAAATTCTACAGATACTCTATTGACAAATCTTCCTTCAGAATGTGAAATATATTTGAAAACAATCACGATCAGGTTACGGCATAGGAGCAAAGAAATCTGTGTTCGAGCATTAATACATGATGGATCACATCTTTCTTATATTGAGAAGAGCTTAGCTGCTGAGTTAAATCTTCCTCCTTCCGGAAAGAAAATGTTATCTCAAGGACTGTTTGGTGGAGGAATTTCTCCCGCTGTTGAGCATAATAGATATACATTAACTATTGAAAGTTTAGATCGAAAGTATTCTACTTCAATGTCTCTGCTTGATCAACAGAAAATTTGTTCAATGCTACCCAGAATACGTGATGAAACATTGCTTGTTGAGCTTGTGTCGTGAGGGATAAAACTGACAGATGTTGGAAGAGCTACACCACCTATACAAATTCTTCTAGGAGCCGATGTACATGGATGCATTTTGATGGGAAAAATTGAGGTACTTACATCTGGGGTTTCAGCTGTAGGACAGTTTTAGGACCTGGCAAAAAAAAGCAAGTGATTAATGTGGTCATGTTAAATCTTCAAAATTTTGAGGTGCCGAAGACATGGGATTTAGAAGTTTTAACGATTACAGATCTTGTAGAAAGAAGAAATAAGATCCTTCTTGATGAAGAAACTTTGATCCATAAACCTTAGATGGACGTTAAGAAGTAGCTTTGCCGTGGCTAGCTGGGAATCCTGCTTTTTATGATAAGTACGATATAGCTGAATTGCGTCTTCGCATGGTAACAAAATGATTATTAAATGAAAATAACTTCCAAGCCTACAATGCTATATTCCAACGGTGGAAATTAGAAGACATCATAGAAACGGTTTCAATGAAGCAGCTGTTTAAACTCAGTCATTATCTCCCTCATAGGCCTATTATCAAGCCATCCAGCAGTACTACAAAAGTACGCCCAGTGCTCGACGCTTGTTTCAAGCGACCTGGATATGCTTCTTTAAATGAGTGTTTGAGTGTTGGACTGATTCTGATACATCAGATGGTTCCCATTACGGGAATCAAGCCCGGGCCGCCTGGGTGAAACACTGAGGCCTTACAACAACGAGATTCTGAAAGATGTAAAGGTAACTCGATTTAGTCGTCGAGTAGTGCCTGTTAAACGGATGGACTTATGAACTGCTAGTGACTTTTTTCCTAGACTTAGATAATTGTAATGTGTTGTTTATTGTTCTTTTATGTTAAATTCACACATTTATAGTTCTTAGTTCAGTTTCATGTCATGCATTAAAATATATGCCTATTATATATGTATACATTTTCATTGCTTCGTTTTGCATTGCTTTTAAGGCAAACTTGCCTGCAATGCAAAGCGGGAGGATGTTGCTGCGACTCCTATTAAATTTAACATTTCGTGTGTTGTAATTTTGTTTGATGTATGAATCTGGGAACCAGTTTTTGAATGTAATGATTAGAAAATTCCCATTCTAAGCAGTTAAGTTACGTTACTGAGATACTGAATGTTTTTCATCATTAAGATGTATGGGTCGTTTGATCATTATACTAAACTCTATATGTAAAATAGTTGCATTAATATGCATGTGTTTGTAAAGTGAAATAAATTTGATATTAATAAAAAGTTGGATTTCGAGTCAAAACAGTTGATTCACATTCACAGATCACAGTGTTAAGTTCTTCCTGATTCAATACAGATATACCTAGAGTTCTTTTTAATAATTCCTTTACAATGCAAATCAACCTTTCCCACTGGGCTGCGGTGGGTGGTATAAATTTCCAAATAACATTATGTATGAAGCTCTCTCTAGAAATCTTGTCTCAATCTAATTTAGGAAGATCATTAAATGCTTCTCTGAAGTTGGTTCTGTTATCAAAATAAATTGTACTTGACCTTCCTCACCTAGCAATAAACTGCCTAAGAGCCAACAAAAAGCATCCGAAGACAAAGAATTTACCATTTCTAGGTGAATGGCTCAAAACACCATGCAAGTAAACAATGCTATCCCCACCTTTTCCCCAGTTTTCAAAAACAAAGGCCCGGCCACATCAATCCCTACAACTTCAAAAGCTACACAATCTGTAATTCAGTCTGGTGGCAAAGGTGTAGGTTCGCTTGACATAGATTTAATTTTAAAACGTTTACATGTCATGCAGTTATATAGAACATTCTTAA